TGCGCCACCGCCCCTGGCCTAAGTTTTCATTAAAACATATCCTACCAAGGGTTGACTCATTCTGAGTGACTGGCACTGTGACTCCCTAAGTTGACAATAATGTATTAAATTGCTCTTATCTGAGCCAAATTGTGCCACCCAGGAGTACTGTTTCCAGGGTTCCAGATGTTTTGCTACCTTTGTTCTTTGTCTTCATTTGAGTTGCAAACACAGAAGAGAGATGGATTCACAATATCTTCAGAGAGATTTGGAGTTGAAGCAAAGTCACCAGTCAGAAGAAACCATTTAAAGCTCAGAATTATAAGAAATGCAAAAAGTTATGTGTACGTAAACAGAGCAAGATTAACAGTAGACTCCAGAAACAGTTTATTTCTAAGGTGGCTCTTAACTATAAAGTGGCTTGAATGACCTTCTTATAACCCTGGGCAAGAGTCCTCTTAAGTTTGATGGAAAATATCAACATGTAAGGGACATAAGGAGTTGAATTTTAAGTGTGAGTTGAATTTTGTTGTTTAATATTCAAATTATGAATATTTAAAGAAATAAAATCATTTTAGTTGGGAGGCCATCCTGCTTAGAAAACAGTTTTACAGGTTTCTGTCACTTGATTTTGTAAAGCAGTTGCCCTGCCTGGAAGGATTTCACTAAAATTCATATTCAGTCAATCAGGCCAAATGTCAGGTTGCAAGGTAAATGACTTGTAGGCCATCTAAACATTTGGAAATAACTTTTTTTCTTTCTTTTAAAAATTTCTCTTGTTGGTCCTAAGTAGTTGTGTATGTGGCAAAAGTCAAGGTTCCCTTATTCCTCATTAGATTTACCCAGCCTGAGACTTGAAGCAAAGCACATCTAATTTAAATCAGCTCTGGCCTGGGGAGGGTTCCCCCACATTCATCAGGATCCACTTCAAAAGCCAAATACTGCCCAACATAGTGATGGACACATGCCTGTACTCCCCAGCTATTTGAGAGGCTGAGGCAGGAGGATAGCTTGAGTGAGCCCAGGAGTTCAGGGCCAGCCTGCCCAACATAATGAGACCCTGTCTCAAAAATAAATAAATAAATAAATAAATAAAAATAGGAAAAGGAAAACCAAATGGATGTTGAGGTTTTCCTGTGTTTGGGGCCTGGTCCCCAATGGATCTTAGAATCTAGGTAAGTCCAAGATTATTAGGGGGGTCGCTGATAGGCATTGATTAGGGTAGATAAAAAGGAATTAGTAATATGGATGGTTATTCTAAAGGGCTGTCTTTTAGAATTCACAGAGGAAGTTTCAGGCAGGATTTGTCCTTGGCTTTATTCCATCAAACACCAGATTTCTGACTCTTGCTTTCAGTTTCCTTTCCCTAGAAGGAAGGCTTAGGGGAGGTCGTTATTAGGATCTTCAATTCTAATTCCTTTCCAGTTCTGTTCCTTTCCAGAGAGAAAAGCTCTTCAGTCCAACAGCTTCCTTCCCCATTTGGTTCTGCTGATTTCCTTGCTAATGTAAGAGCTGCTGCCTGCTGGGCCTTCTCTCAGCAGGAGCCTCTCTTTCAGGCTATTACCTTCATTAATGCATTCAGTCCTCTCCTCTCAGTAATCCTGTGGGGCGGAGCCTGTCCTCATCTGCACTCCACAGGTGTGGAGAACTGAAGCAAAGTCATCAGGCTGCCAGTAAATTGTGGAGCAGTGTGACCCAAGGAGTAGCTTCAGAATTGGAATCTGTAATTTCCTCCTCAGGTTTAAGAAATTAGCTTTTTGCCTGGCTCTTATTTTGTTTTGGGTTTTGTTTGTGCAAAACTGGGGATTGAACCCAGTGGTGCTCTTCACTTTGAGACAGCATTTCCCTAAATCGTCAGGCTGACCTCAAATTTGTGATACCAGCCTCCTGAATAGCTGGGATTACAAACGTGCACTATGCCTGGCTTTTATCTAGTTATCCAATCTAACATTGTGACTTTTTTTCCTCTCATGGCAAAAACTCTTCCCACCTCTCTACCTCCTGTACTCCCATACCAGTCTCCTCTTCCCTCTTGCTTCCCTCTTTGAAGCAGCACTGCCCAAAAGAAGTGCATATTAGCGGCCCCTGAAATCTCAAAGTGGCTCCCCAAAGACTTAGGGATATCTGTTCTCTTGAGAATGTTCTTAACACTCTCAGGAAAAGGTATAATAGCTTAGAATTCCAGCATATGAAAGTCTCCTTTTTTTCTTTCCTTCTTCTGGCTATCTCCTGTGGAGCCTATTATGTATCCTACTCTCTGCTCCTCTAGTTCACTGGGCCCTGCTACTTTTGAGAGCTACTATAAACCCCTGGACTACCTCATCACTGCACATCCAATTTTGTTTTTTTAGTTCCTTATGTGGCTAAGCAGCTTGATAGCAGGTGACATCTGTCTCATTCTTTAACTCCCCTGTACCTAACACAGTGTCTGGCATGTAATGTATGTTCACCAAGGGGCTTGCTAAAAGAAGAAGTGATATGATCTTTCTCCTTAAAGACCTGGTTTTATGTTAGGTACAATGGCATGTGCCTGTAATCCCAGTGACTCTGGAGGCTGAGGCAAAAGGATCTTGAGTTCAAAGCCAGCCACAGCATCTTAGCAAGGCCCTAAGGAACTCAGTGACACCCTGTCTCTAAATAAATATAAAAAGGGCTGGAGATGTGTCTCAGTGGTTAAGTTCCCTTGGGTTTAATCCTTAGTACAAAAAAAAAAAAAAAAAGACCCTGCTCACACTTCATCTCTTCCATGAACTGTCCCCCACTCTACTCTAGTTGTCATAACTCTGTGCTCCTTTATTCTCCCATGGTAACTGGCACCTCAATTCCAGTACTCAATATAGATTGCCCTGAAGTCATTGTTTGTGTAATAAACTTTCCATCCTCCTAAAAAAAGTATTAGAGGAAAATAATTTTGCTCATTTTGTCATCCATTTGCACTGAGCATCCAAAGTCTTGAAATAACACTTTGAATAAAGCACACTTGCCATCATTTGACAAGAATATCTGCCCAGAGTATCACATTTCAATCATTTAATCTTAAATTGGAAAACATCTAATTTGAAAATTGCAAAATGAGTTTCTTTGGGTATCTGAAATTATTTGTGTGTGATCAAGTTGGTTTTTTTTTACTACAGCATTGGATTGGGTGTTTGTACAGTGTATAGTGCAAATGGAGCTGAACTCCAGCTGACTGGATTCAGAGAAGTCTTACTCTCAGAAATTTGTTTTACAGAACCAGTGGATTGTGAGAGCACTGGACCCTAATCATAAAAATAAAATATTTTCATCGGAGATATTTTGAAAATATGGAAAAGTGTAAAGAGCTCATGATTCTGCTATCTAGAGGAAACATTTTTGTGTGTTTCCTTTCAGTGTTTTTCCTGTAAATATATTGGGGTCACACAGGTGCATATATTGCTTTATTTACTTAATATATGAAGAGTACTTTCTCTGATTATTCTTCTTCAATAATCTGATTTATAGGGTGGCGTGCTGGGGATTGAACCCAGGGCCTTGTGCATATATTCTATCACTGAGCTGCACCCCCCAGCCAGTAATCTGATTTTTAAAATTGCAAAAAGTTTAAGAGTATACCATCATTTGTCTCATCCTTTATTGGATATCAGATATTTGTCCTTAATTTTTTTTTTAAATAATATGACCTTCCTACACACAGAATACTGAGTCACAGAGGGAGAACATTTTAAAGTCCTTGATATGTATTATTAAATCTCAACACCTACCACTGGGCCCATTAGATGGTAGATACTCAGAAAGTAATGGTTGAATGAATGAATACCTTTCAGGTTGGCCACTTTATATCCCCA